CAGTTGCCCCAGTGTGTGTATTCATCCCAGTGAGTGTGCAGTTGCCCTGCTTTCTCTCACCCTCGCCCTGCAGCTGCCCTGGGTCCAGCAGCTCCATCATGTAGTCGGTGTCGAGCTGCAGCTGAGAGATGTCACTGCGCAGACACACCCAGGTGAGACAGGGCAGGAAGTCATCTGCCCCATAGACAGCCCCTGAGAGAGAGGACAGGCCCCCTTACAACACAGGCTACACACAGACACACCAAGATACTGCTGCCCAGAGAGGACCATGTTGATACCTTCGATACCTTCCTGGGCTAAAGAACGCCCACAACGAAGACTGAGAGGAGACTGGGTTCCTTAAAGGCACTGGCTGACAAAGTCACGTGTTGAGAGTCAACACTGAAACAGAAACACAGGACACAACCGGAAACTGCAGAACTGCTTTGACAACCATCAAAACGAGGCAGTTCTTCACACAAAGGGTTGAGTCTGGAGAGGTGGCTGATATCCTGGCTTCTTGCAAGAAAGAGCTAGATGAGATAACTCAATAACCTACTGAAAACACAGAAAAATGAGCTAAATGGGTCGTCAGGTATGCACAGACCCAGGACATAACTATACAGTAATACAGCCGCCGAGAGACAGGACTGTAATTCACAGGACTCTGCACACTTACTGTATGTATCTTCAGACTATGAGAGAAAAAGGGAGGAAGGGTAAACAGAAAGACTTTGCTGCATGGTAACAGGGTAAATAGAGAAGCCAACGCAGTGAGCCTCCTAACGCCAGTGAGCGCCCGTGCCACACGTCTCTCTGTGTGCCCGTGTGATCCTGCGGGTCTCAGGGTGTAGCTACTCCTCCTACAGCACAGGGGGCGCTCTCACCGCTGCCGGAGCTCATGGCCTGGTAGATGCTCTTGCAGATCTTCAGCAGGTGTTGCACCTTCTTGCTGGGGGAGTAGGCCTGGTGCAGGGCAGCGAGGCGCTGCTGGATCTTCTCCATGGCGACCGCATCGGGCACGCCCACCCCGGAGGACCCGCCCAGCTCCTCCAGGCTCCGCCCCCGCATGCGCTGCTGGTTGTCGGAGAGGCGCTGCAGGGTGCCGTCGCGGGAGCGGTAGTCGTGGAGACAGGAGTAGAGGTGAGGACAGAGGGGCTTGAGAACGATCTTGTGGAGAGTGAGCTCCAGCATCGCATCTACAGAGGGAGGAGGAGAGCTGGGTATTAAGAGGGGGGTTTGTTTACATGACACACGCCCAGGGCAGCACCCCAGCAACGCCCTGACCCACAGAGAGGCCGACTCGGAAAGAGAGGGGATTGCTTTGGCGATCCTTGTCGGGTTAGTTATCTAAGTTTAACTACAGTGTCGGCAAGAAGCCCAGGCCAGGAACGATAACTGACTAACGGAAGAAGAAGGGGGCTTCTTCAGGGTGGAAGGAGAAAGTGGCACCTGACGGCGCAAGTGAAAGCGGCTTGAGAGGACCGACAAGATGAGGCGTCTTTACACTAAGTGTGGCGGGAGTGTGGAACAAGTCGCCCTGGCCGTGCTGTTCACCCTGGTTGCCTGTGTGGGTGCTTTATGAAGTTCTCAGCTCCCTTGGCTTCCAGGTGCTGGGCACGCTGGGTCGGTCGGCCACCCCCAGAGGCAGAGTATGTCCAGTGAGGCGCTGAGAGAGTTCACCAAGAGAGCGCTGGGCCCCGCCCACGCCACAGCGGAGGGGAAAGCTCCCCTCAGGGCTCTGCGCGCTGTAAGAGAGAGGACTCCTCCACGCATCTCGGAATGAGACAGTCATGACGACCGGTAACCTTTTCCACTTCAAAACACCAACCCCCTCCCTCCTGTCATAATCAACACCCGCTGACCCCCCCCCCGGGGGGACCGCAGAACTCCAGGAAGTGACATGCCCAGGTTTCCTGTAGGCAGCCTGCGTTGCCTAGCAACTGGCAACCACATCTGCAAGCAAACGGCTGCGAGCTGCCTCTCGGGCGGCGTCAGAAACCAGCTGGGCCTGGGCGAACGCCGGCGGGCCCGGGGGCACCAGAGCTGGCACCGGCCTGGAAAGCTTTTTCGCTTCTGCAGAGACCCGAGTCCTGCGTCCCTGCTGGTGATGATGCTATGTTTACAAAAGTAAACCTGCAAATTCTGCAAGACCTGCCTCTGTGCTCCAGACAGCCAGGGTCTCATGCACAGTGCCGTGGTGTTTTTGCATCATGTGTCAGATTTAGCGACATAAACTGGGAACATGGACGCCCAAGGCTGACCACAGCAAACTGTCTAAACTGTCTGCTTTTACTACCGGATATGGCAACAAACCGTTACTTACCAATCAGAAAACTGCACGTTTTTGGTATGTAAATTTGGCTCATCTCCAAAAATAAAAGCCTGTTGCCGTCTTTGAGAAGGTGACGAAGTTTTGGCTAGCTGCGCCCCTCCTCCTTTCTTTATTGCAATACAGAAATCTCCAGTCCTGTGGTTTTCTGAGGAGGGTCTAACGGTACTAATCAAAGGACCCCAGATAAACACTGTGGCACAGGGTTTGAGCCTTCTCCCCTTTATGCCAGGACTTGTGCCCTCCCCCCCCCTCGGATAAATTCATGCTGGTCTTGAAGCTCTCGCCCGGCTTGCAGGGCTGCTCCTGGAGAAGCAGGGGAATGAGGGGGCGCACGCAGAGCACTCACCCAGCTCCCAGTCCGGCGTGTCTCCCAGGCTGTCCAGGATGCCCTGGATCTCGGGGGCGTCCAGCAGCGCCTCCCTCAGGCCGGTCAGCTTGTGCCGGACGTCCTGCAGCAGCTCGGAGCCGGACGGGTAGGCCGGCGGGGCGCACCCCCTGAGGGCGTGCTCGAGGAAGGCGCGGGCCTGCTCCCCGAAGCCGCCGGCGCGCCGCTCACACAGCTCCTGCGCGCGGTGGGACAGGCGCTTCTGCGCCGAGACCAGCCCGCCGATGACCTGGCCGAACGCCGAGAAGCGGTGCTTGACCTTGTCCGCCAGGGCCAGCGAGAGGCGGCCGTGCGGGGGGCCGGCGGGGGCGCCCCCCAGGGAGCCACACAGCACGTCCATCTCCTCCTCCGTGCTGCTGATGGACAGGGAGTCCAGCTCGTAGCCCAGGGGGGTCAGCAGGGAGTGGACAGGCGACGGCGGGGACAGCCACACCCCGTCTTCGATCCAGGACACGCGGTGGGGCGACTGGGGCCCCGAGTTGCGCTGGGACGGCTCCGCAGGGGGACTGCGGGAACCGGGGTCATCGGTCTGCTGGGCTGGGCTTGGGGAGCCAGGGGTTAGGAGTTCAGGGGTCGGGAGGTCAGAGGAACCCCCTCTTCTCAGCGCATCAGTCTTCCTCCTCAGGACGACTTCCTGAACGGAGCCGGGGGAGCAGGGGGGGGACTGCAGAGCTCCCGCTGGGGCAGAGAGAGGTGAGAGGTCAGAGGTCAGAGGTCAGAGGATCCTGTCAGCTAATGCAGACAGCTAGAAATACCAACTTGGAAACACGTTTCTATACCTCACACATACAGCATGCATCTGTCTGTTTCTGTCTGCTTGCTTTGCTGTTGTTGTATGGACTTTTCTAAAAAAACCCATATTGTTATCAAACTTGTTTTATTTGCTTTAACTGTTTTATACTGTGTAGCACTTTGAGATGTTGCACATCAAACGTGCAAGATAAATGTAATATATAGCGTAATATATATAATATAAAAACTAATGTAGTTCAGGTGGACAGCTGCGTCAGCGTGCGTAGCCTTCTTCGGGTGTGGAGAAGTCAGCCTGTGTCCACACCTGAAGAAGGCTCCTCAGCCGAAACGTGTTTTCTTTCTTCTCTTTTCAGCCTGGAATGAACCTATTACTTGTGCATATAAATTAATGTTTATTATTGCCTGTAACATCAGAGAAAATTGCAAACGGCTTGTCCACATCCCTTCTTGTGATATTTGGCAAATGATCTGTATGTGCAGCAGTAGCTGCAGTGACTCAGTGTTACTCCAGTAGCTGAACTCACAAGCCTGCTCCTTCTCCGTACTGCTGGGCTCAGTGACCTCCTGCTCCTTGTCCACTGAGAAAGTTCTCTTGTTCTGAATCCCCGCCCCTCCCCAGGGGCGGGTGGTGCTCAGCCTCCTTTCTCGCCTGCGATTGGCTGCCCGTGCGCTCGGGGCCTGACTGGTTTCCAGGGGCGACTGCTTGGTGAGCCAATCATCTCCGTGTTCGTGGAGAAACAAAGGGTTAATGATGCAGAGCGCTCCATTCGCTGAGGTCACCTGCCAGTGAGACAAGAAGTTAATAAGGCTTCAATTAACTGCTAAGGAAGATATCAGTAAACTTAAGCCATTAAAAAAAAAAAAAACTTTCTTTTTAAGTCAAATGATTTCCCAAATGATACTTTTATTAGCAGTTTTTAAACCTGGCATAAATTAGGTTTTTAAGCTTTTAATCTTTTAAGCATCCAAAGCATTTTCATTTTTCTCATTAAAACAAAAACAGATCACCAGCTATCTATATTGAGGAAGGGCTCTCTCTTGATCTCAGTGACATCACTTCCTGGATGAAGCTTCACGACTGTGTGGTTACATTCACCAGTAGCTCAGGCTGCACTGTCAGCACTGGCTTCAGTGGAAGTCCAATTATAATCCCACTGACAAAGCAATCGAGCTCAGTGATGTGGCTCCTGCATACATCAGGGGAAAAGAGCAATCAGAGCAGCACAGCAGTAACCGGACAAACAGGGGTCACCTGTATCGAACACATGGTGAGACCAGTCGGGGGGAGAAGTGGGGCGCCGGTCACGTGATTGGATTCCACATTCGGGCCTGAGGAGGGATCCAACCAGAACTCTGACACACAGAGAGCAGGGATGGTATATCCAGAACAACACACAGAGCGGGATCAAAATACAGAGCAGAAATAATCATTTTATCAGCATTTAGCCACCTTATGGATACAGGGTCTATTTGCTTAAAATATGACACAGCCCAAACTGGACCAGC